AGGCAGCATACATCCAGTAAGTGCAATGTCTTCTGGACACATCCATTTTATGACACGTTCATGGATACTCTGCTTAACACATGCACAGAAGATCTGGCATGTCTATGTATGTGCTAGGCAGCACATGGACTGTTCTGTCTTAGATTTCATGTCTATAATTCAGAAAGTCCTAGCTGAACTATTTATTGGAAACATGCACTCACTCATTTGGAACTGCTGTTCCTAAAAATCATTTGAAGCAACTTGAGTTTGTTCCAAAGATACAGCATTTTATTGGTTTAAAGCAAGTGTGTTTTGTAAATGATGAAACTGCTCACTCATTGCTTTGCATTGCTTTTTGTGATCTATGAAGTTCTGTTTTTGCCTTCTTAGACTTTCACCCAGTACTGATATTTCAATATTCTTTATATGCATTTCCCCCACCAGCAGCTGCTAGATACAGTGTAATAGGAGAATGAGTTAGGAGGAAAGACAAGGAATGCTTATTTAGAAAATTTTGACGAAGTAAACCCCATCACTATGTTAGCAGACTGGCCATATTACAGTGAATACCCTTCCTGAATCAGCTACCTGTGTTTGGGGAGCTTCCTAAGGGGCTCTGTAGCTCATTGGTTTTTACTCTAGCCATGTCTTCTTCCCAGAAACTCTTTATCCTTTTCTTAGTATCTTTCACCATGGGCTTATGTTGATGATGAGAGCAGTATTCTGGCTATTATGCTGTCTAATGAATGCATAATCATAATGAGGAGTGCACGACAAGCTGGTCATAAAAGGAACACCTTGGGGGACTAAACTCAGGGAACTTACTGCAGGAAGAGAAACTGCCTTTTCTTCTTCTTCACCTGACACTAGATCTTATCTCTTAGGTTTTATCTCTAATCTCTTAGGTTTTCCATTGGTTGTGGCTTCCACTACCTTACCATTCCCCTTCTTTCTGTGCTGATGAAATCCTGCTGAGCCTTCTCTCCTCTAGGCTGAACACTCTCAGCTCTCAACCTTTCCTCATAGAAAAGATGCTCCAGTCCTTTAATCACATTAGTAGTCCTTTGCTGTATGATTATATATGTATGTCTGTGTCCAGTATGTCCATTCCTTTCCTATACTGGGGAGCCCATGAGTGGACCTAGTATTTCAAGTGAGGCCTCACCAGTACCCAGCAGAGGGGAAGAAACATCTCCCTCAACTTACTGGCAACGCTCTTCCTAATGCAGCCCAAGAGGCTGTTGGCCTTCTCTGTGGCAAGGGTATAATGCTGGCTCGTGTTCAAATTGGTGCCATCAGAACCCCCACGTTTTTTTCTGCCAAGCTGCTATCCAGCCAGTAGGCCCCCAGCATGCTGTGGTCCACCTGTGTGGGATTTTACATTTCCCTTTGTTGAACTTGTTAAGAACTATTTCAAGCCCATGACTCTAGTTTGTCTGGGTCCCTCTGAACAAGCCAGTTATCTCATCATATAACCAGTGGTCTTTCCAGGATTGTTTAATCTGGAGGAGACTCAGGGGAGACCTTATAGCTCTCTGCAGCTACCTAAAAAGAGGTTGTGATGAGATGGGAGTTGGCCTGTTTTCCCGCATAACTAGTGATAGGACTAGGGAATGGTCTCAGTTTGCACCAAGGGAGGTTCAGGTTGGATATTAGGAAAAATTTATTTACAGGAGTGGTCAGGTGCTAGAACAAGCTGCCCAGGGTTAAGTCATATCCCTGGAAGGCATTCAAGAAAAATTTAGATGTTGTACTAATGGACATGGTTCAGTGGGAAAATATTGGTGGTAGGTGGACAGTTGGACTAAATGATGCTGGAGGTCTTTTCTAACCATGGTGTTTCTATAAGTTTGTGATTCTACTCTTGGCAGATCTCCCCTGCTGCATGTATAGGAGACCTTCATAAACCTGTTTGATTAAAACTTATTTGGTTACCTAACATTGGGTTTGTTTCTAAGTGCTGTAAAATGAACTGCTTCACCTGCCGTTGAAATGAGGTAGAAGTGATACGAAACACATATTTTATTTAACAGGATATACCAGCTGGTCTATGCAAAACTGCATACAAAAGGAAGATTTTTGTCCAGATATGAGGTAGGGTTGTTTTGTTTTGAAAAAAAAAGAAGAAAGAAATTAGGGGGAAATGGGGATTGTATTGCTGCTTGTGTTGGTGAAATTCCACTGAGGGCTGCTATTACTGGTCAGAAACAAGAAGTAGCAAGTGTGGTCAGTGAACATTTGATATGCAAAGTTTTTAACACTGTTAAATAACTTTGAATTGCATTGAAATATAGGCCATGTATATTTAGATACTCAGATAAGATTTATTTCTAGATAAATCTAAGTTAGCTGTATTGAAAATGAGATTGGATACCAACACAAAATCCCTTTCATGATTTTCAAACATTGAAAGTAATTTCAGTGAACATGACTAAATACTCAGGCAGAACTGCTCAGAACACATTGTTTATACATCGACAGTCTCTTCAGCAAAAACTGACTTTCTTAGACCTACTCAGTATATATGTTCTGTTGACACTTCCATCCTAAAAGGAGGTTACTGCAAACATGAAGATTTAATTTAGTGTCTGCATTTAAAAGAGGTGCTGAGAGTTCATTCAATAAAAAGCACATAAAGAAAGGGATTTAAGTGAGAAAGTTGCAACTACTGAGACATAGCAGAGACACATCAGGAGAGAAATATTTGCTATAATTGCCAAAAACAATAACAACAAAAAAACAACAACCAAACAACTAACCATAAAATTAACTCTTCAATTGTTGACCTAGAAAATAGTGAGGAGAAATAATATGCCTATGCAAAGCATTAAAGAAGTCAAGAAGGATGGCTTAGTTGGTTTAACTGGGTGGATTTAAAAATTGTTTAAAGAATGATGCAGTGATAATGGTAAAAAGAGATTCAAACTGGCTTTACTAGGAAGCAGATCTACAGATGTTCCTGTGAAACTTCATATGTATTATCTCAATAAAAGAAAGGTTGAGAACAAAATAACATAGAATGAGCTAACTGTGTATAATCTGGAAATAGCATATGCACACACAAATGTACATCCTCATTCTTTGGGTGTTTAAGGAGAGATATGAAAAGAAAAGCAAGTACAACACTAACAAGGCTTTAGTTACTTCTGAGGCACTGAACTTTGCTGGAGAAGAAGGATGACTAGATATCTCATAATTGGAGATAAAGTGGAAGCCAGCAGACGTGAAGGCATATGTTATGGAAACCTGATAGGATTACATGTGGAGATCTTTTTACTATCATGTTCCTGTCAGGACTGTAAGAAGAGCATTTTTGTTCTAGAAGAAAGGGGTGAAACAAGTTTTTGGCAATACTGAGAAACATGAATTAAATTTAAAATAACAGCGGGGTTTTTTTCTAACAAACATGAGAAAGTAAATGATATGCAGAAGCAGTTAGCAAAAGAAAGTTTAAGTCAATAAGATATATTGGTATATACTAATTTTAAATATACAGCTTGCTAACATAAACTTTATGCATAAAATGAGCTTATTTGGAGATACGTGCTTTCTGATATATCTTAAGTTTATTCTAAGGGAACCAAGGAAGAACCTTGATCAGATGAAACTATTATTTTTAGATTTTTCTGTTATTCACAGATAATAAGCATTGTCACATAGCAGATTTTATATAAATTCAAAATACATTCAGAGCAAGATAAAGAAGAGTCACAGAATTGTAGAGGTTGGAAGGGACCTCTGGAGATTACCTAGTCCAACCCCCCCGCTAAAATAGGTTCCCTATAGTAGGTTACACAGGAAGGTGTCCAGGTGGGTCTTGAACAAAAATGAAACTCCACAGCCTCTCTGGGCAGCCTGCTCTGGTGCTGTCTCCCTCACAGTGGAGTTTTTAACTGACATTTGCATGGAAATTCTTGTGTTCCTGTTTGTGCGTGTTGTCCAGTTGCTGGGCACCACCAAAAACAAAGGCTGTTCTTGTCAGTCACAAACAACATGCTTACTGTAACAGGGCTGTCTTTGTTGCTGTTACATGTGTGGAGATCTTCTGATATGGGCCATGATCACATTACCTACCTACACCAGTACGAGGGGCCCATAGGAAGATGCCTGGTGCAGCAGGAAAATGGGGTCTCATCAATGGGGTCTGGCTTGCGAGACAGCTTGGGGGGCACACTGCCAGTGACCCCCTCATGCTACCCAACCGCACATGCGCATGTGTGTATGGCAAAGCTATCCAGCCTGTGGGATCCTGAAGAACGGGGTATCACTGCCATATGTGCATGTGCATATGTGTAGCACAGACCCAATATGGAAGAATAGGAAACCAGTCATTTCTCAGTTTCTCAGAGAAAAAGATGTGAGGAGACGTAATAGTGCTAACTGGAAGCTGTTGAAGTCTGGAACTGGAACTAGCTGGAACTTCAACAGTTGAGTGACATGCCTAGAGAAGCTGTGGTCCCCCTTCCCTAGAGGCACTCAAGGCCAGGCTGGATGGGGCCCTGAGCAGCTGAGCTGGGGGGGTGGCAGCCCTGCCCACAGCAGAGGCTGGGGCTGGTTGGGCTTTAAGTCCCCACCCAAACCAAGCCATTCTGAAACTGGTGCATGAGCTGGGTTTTCGCAGATGCAGCTATGCCATGATTTGGTCACCTTGGCATGACCAATGCTTGTAGCTCCTATAGCTTACTGTGTCAAAAAGCTTTAACAACACTCGTTTCAATCAGTACAAATCTGAACTTAGAATGCAATATAAAGGCACACCTCCAACGACTTTACCTGAATGAGTAACTTCTGTCACCACTAAGTTGATTTCGTTGCCACTTGTTACTAGGTCCTCAGTGGAGGCCAGGACAAACCCCCCGCCTACCTCCCACGGGCCTCTTCCATAAGCAAGACCCCTATCCCCGCCCTTCTCCCGTGCGCGTCTGCCACAACCAACACCCCGCCGCCGGAGCGATGGCCCCGCACGCCTCAATTCACCGCGGCGTGCTGCGCATGCGCCCGCGCAAGCGTCCCAACGTCTCGGCATTTGCGGCGTCTCCCCTTCACTCCCGCAGGTGCTCTGAGGGAGCGAGTGAGACGTTACGGCTGTAGCGGGGCCGCCGTCCCCAGCCAGCGGTGAGTGAGGGGCCCGTCCGTCACCGGCGCGCTGCCCGCGGTTCGGCGGCCATGATGTGTGTGGTTGCCATGGGAACAGCCGGCGAGCGGGAGGGGAGTCGGCAGGGCAGCGCCTGTTGCCGGCGGCAGCCGCCCCCCGGTAACTACCCCAGAGTGCTGGTTTGGCAGGCGGGCTCCGGGTTCAGTCACCACCCGTGAGGACACTGGTGGCTACAGCACGGGCTTTCTCCTCGCTGGTGCGGTGAGGCAGTGTGTGCTGCCTGTAACCGGTGGGGCAAAGCTCGCCGCCATACCTCGTTTTCATCCAGCGTGGTTGTTTAGTAGGCTTTGGAAACATTTTTGGTCTTCCAGATCAGGTTGGTGTCTGCTGAAGGTTATTTCTTTGCTGTGATGATTTGGTGCTTTTTTAAGCCTGAAGCTTGTACTGCTCTGAGACGCAGTGCTGAGCGTAGTGAGCGCTGAGAGCTCTGTGTGTATTTTAGTGGTTAAATGATCCCGTTCCTGAGATTTGAGCTACACGTAGCACGGTGCTGACTGCTGTCCTGATGCACTCAGCCAGGCTTTGCTGATTGACACAGAGTGATGCTGTGAGGGTGCAGCTATCTCACTGCTAGTGATAGCTGGGTCTGATCTCTGATCTAGGGTTCTCTGAACCGTACTCTGAGCTGGGCCCTCTGATCCTGTGCTGTTATCTGCTGCTTTCAAATCTTTCTGTACAGTAAAGACAAGACCTCTGGAGGAAGCAAGTGAGAGGAAAAGGCAAGAGACCAAGTACAGCTTTTCAGAGGCTGATGAGAGACAGAGAGGAGCATCACCTGTGCAAGTTAAGGGCTACCTGGAAAATGGTGACAGCAGCAGGGACAAGATCTGCACATGCCAGTTATGTTGATCTTGAGTCTGCAACATTGCCTTTATGTGTACCTGCTGGACTAGCGAGCAAAATGGGAATGTTGCTGGATTTTCAAAAAGAGGCACAGATAACTAGAATTATTTCTGATTTTTACCTAAGGTATTGTATTTTAAAGAAAGGCATAAGTAGAGTTTTTGAAAAGTATATATATAGAAAATCTTACTAATAAATAAAAAAACAACATTAAAAACAAAACAAAACCAACAAACCAACAACAAAACAAACGAGTAAAACTAGATGGCAATCTAGGCAGCTGATGCTGTCATCCTTCCTTCATCCTGGGTTACTGCTCTCTACTCATTGCTTCCCACACTACTTGGAAGGAAACTGGCATGATATAGCTAGCTTAGACTACTTGCTCAGAGCTTCTGCGGTTTGGGATGGGAGAGAGCAGGTGAAACTTCATCCTGGAGCGCTGCTGCAGCAGAGCAGCTGCTTGGTACTTAAATGTTTCAGCCTTAGGCATGATAAAATAGGGAATAATAATTTTTCTGTTGGCCTTTTGAGAAAGAGACAGTGGTTGTATTGTCTGTGATGGCACACCATGTTGGCACAGCAGCCAAATTCAGATAAAGAATTTCCATGGTTCTTAATTGCTTGCAAGAAATAATAACCTTTCTTATCATTTATATATACATCTGGTTTATGACATTGCTTACTTGTTTCCCTGTGCTTTATTACATTTTCTGGCTAATAATTATGGGATACCAATTAATAATACACTTGTATCCTATCAGTACTGCAATTCTGAATGTGCATAATAGTACTATATGCCAAAATTAGGAAGAATTAAGCTGTCATGGGATTGGTGCTAAACTTAAGTTGTGCTTAGGGCTTCACCTCCCCATGAAAGCTCCCAAGCCCACTGCTGTCCTTCTTGCTGGGTGCCTGAAAGCAGAGACCTGCCAGCTGCCACTCCTACAGCAGCAGAAGGGAAATGTGATGCACCAGAGCAGCAGAGTGAGCTCAGTCAGGCATTCAAGATAAATCATAGGTACCCTTTGAAATGTTAATTATTAAAACTTAACTCTTAATGAGTTGGAAGCATGATCCAAACAGTGGCCAAATGGTAGAACTTAGTAGTTAAACTTGTGGTTGAAAAGTTCTACTACCAGTTAAAATGAAATAGATAAGAAGTGAAGACAAATAAAAATTATACTGGAAATCTTAATTGCATCTTACAAATGAATGTGCTTCTAGGATAGATGATTTGCAGTTGGTAATAGCATTAACAGCTGAAGGTAGTTGTATCAGAGATGGTACTGACTCACAGAAATGCATCATATCTCTCAGGTGGCTTCTTAATACAACTATGGAGAACATGGGTGTAAATGCAATATAATACACATTTTAGTGGACATATGGGGATGATTGACAGTTGAGCTGGATGATCTTAGATCTTTTCCAACCATTATGATTTGATGGTGTTCCAATGTCAAAGCTCTGAGACTTCAAGAGCTACAGAGCATAGCACTCTTTAGAGATTGAATGTAAGATATTTAATCTTAAAAATTCAGCAGGACATCTGGAAATGCATGGACCAGAAAAAGAAAAAATGTGAATTTCTTCACATATGTGATGTGTAGAATCACGCTGAATACAGTTTACTACTGTGTCTGTTCAACGTGGTTCTCGTTGCCCTTATGTCCTTACACATAAGGCCTGCAATTGGTAGGTCAAAACCTTGACTTGTTAGTAGCTGGGAGAATAGGGAATGGTGGTCTACCTTCCCTGTTAGTGAGAAATAGCTGTATAATTGTTCCAAACACAATTCCACAGGAATTCCTTACTTAATGCTCTTGAATCATGATGGAGGGAAGAGTATGAATCGTAGCTAAATTCAGCTACAGTGAGGAAAACTAATGTATTAATTGTAATAGGAAAGATTAAAAATACTGACAGGCTCAGGCTCCTGATCTGTTCCTGTATTTTGCTGTTCTGCATGCTGAAGTGAAAGATGTTGGTGCTTCTTAATTTGACCTTGTGTAGTTAACCTGGGGGGGTTGTATTGTGTATTAATTAAAGAGACTGCCAGCATGTGCACATCCTGAAAGAAAGAACAGAAGAGGCAGCTGGAAACTTAAAATTGTGGATAGGAAGAAATGAACTAAGAAACTAGAGAAATAGGGCTTTTTCTCCATGGTTCCTTCCAGTACTTGAGGGAAGCTTATAAGCTGGAAGGGAATGATGTTTTAAGCGGCTCGATAGTGGTGGGACCAGGGGGGGTGGTTTTAAACTAAGAGAGGGGAGATTTAGGTTAGATGTTAGGAAGAACTGTTTTTACTGAGGAGGCAGTGAGCCACAGGCACAGGCTGCCCATAGAAGCTGTGGGTGCCCCATCCTTAGAGGTGCTCAGGGCCGGATTGGATGGGACCTAGGCAGCTGAGCTCGGGGGTGGCAGCCCTGACCATGGCAGGGAGTTGGAACTGGGTAGGTTTTAAGGACCCTTTCTACTGCAACCATTTTATGATAGTTCAGAAATAAACAAGAAAGCAGTTTCTGATCTACTGTTGGCTCTTTAACAAAGCGCGAGGATAGAAGATAGGGTCTGAGTCAAAGATGGTGCAGAAACAAGTTTGTGTTTAGGTAAGTTTGAAACACAAAATGAATTTGAATTAATTTGATCGAGTATTAAATGTGGAGGTTGGTGGCCCTGCATGTGACAGGGGGGTTGGAGATTCATGATCTTTGAGGTCCCTTCCAACCCTGGCCATTCTGTGATTCTGTGAATTTTTGATAGCTTAAAGTTCATGATAGGTTTGCTGCAAAATTACAGGAATGATATCTACAGAAACCTGCACCAGGATAGCCAGTGATTTTTTGGGGAGTTTTGAGAGACTGTTGAAGCAGGTCTTCCATTGCTCACAGCATTTGATGGAAGATGCAGCAGAACAAAAAACTGGTTGAAAGTTTGGGTTGATAATTTATGTTAGTGTTGTCTTTGTTTAGATATGCGTGGGGTCTTTGCTAATCAATTTCTGATAATAACACCTCAGACTTATTATAAAGCTTCCCTTGGTAAAATCAGTAACTTGCATTGTTTTTTTTTTTCCTAAGTTCATTGGAAATAAAGTTTCTGTAAAAGGCTTATTAATGAATTCCTGTTTGGACTTCTATATTTTATAAATGTTCAGGTGTTCAGAAACAGATTTTCTGTTGTTTTGGGGAATTCAGTGTTTTGCTGAGAAAACACTATGGTACTAACATGGCAATCTTTAGTTCCCATTGGAAAAATAAAGGTTCTCCATGTCAGATGCTTTCTGCTCCGCTTCTGCATTTTCCTGCGAAACTGAGAATAAAGGAGGAAAACACAGAGCCAATAACTGCTTATTTTCCCTTATTTTTCACCACTTTTTATTCTCTGATACTTTTTTTTTTTTTTTTTTTTTTGTAATACCTTAAGGTAGAAGAAATATTAATATATTAATATTTTGTAACTTAAAAGTTCCATTGCATTCTCTGCCTTCACATGTTGTTTTGTTTTCTTCCTGTACATTACTTTACAGAGTAAGGTGAGCTTCAAAGAATGAGAACATGGAAAAGCCAGAGCCGTTCTACAGACTTCCAGTGTCAAAGCAGAAGACCAGTTCTGAGATTATAAATGAAGCCAGAAGTGTTCTACGAACGCTAAGAACTCAGAGGCCATTTACACCTGCAGAGGATCAAAGGAAACTTTTTGGATCTGGATCTTCACGGGCTCCTCAAAATAGACCTCCTTCAGTTTTTAGGTACTGTGACTTGAAGATTTTTCAAACATCCTTTAGCAGCATGATTTGAATCTGTAATTATGTTTCTGGTGATTTTTCTCCTGTGTTAATCTGTATTTCTAATCGCATCCTTTGCCTTTTTCTAATGATGCTTACTGTTGATGTTAATCTGCATGTCCCAGAAGTTCCTGTGGATTAGAGCTACCAGAAGCAGTTAGAATAGTTTTGTATGCAGAGAATAGTGTAAAAAATATGGTCTGTAACACACGTTTCTTTTTAAGACAATATTTTAAAAATTGAATAATCTTTATATTTTTCTCTAGAAACTGAGAAAGCGTGTTTATTTCATCATAAACTCTTTGTGTTTCAGCACTTTCTCAGATCTCTTAAATGCAAAATTATAGTTCTTGAAATTAAAAAATGCTTACCTTTAAACAGAATTTTTAGTACTGAAGTATTTCTTTCACATCTATGTATGACTTTAGTACCTAACATGATTCACAGAATGCAATAGGTCTCTTGTCTTTTTTACAGAAGAAAAAACTCTTGTACATTGGGCTTTGGATATGATCTTTAATATTTTCTCCCCTTCTTTCTCTCTCTTTTTTTTCTTTAAATCTGTCTCCCCACTCATTTTTTAACTCTCCTTGTATGACAATTATTTAATAGCTGTATGGAGGATATATCAGCTCTATTTGTAATGTTATGTGTGAGGCATGCCAGAAATGATGCTAAACCATGTCTGAGTTGTGATACAAGTCAGTCAGTGGCCATATCGTGTTCAGGCACTCTACGTCTTATGTTTCATGTTACATAGTGTACCCTTACATAAGAACCTGAGAGTGACTTGGCTGTTCATTGATGATCAGGTAATAAGATAGCTCAGGCTGGCATCCATGCTTGTTCTGTATGTGCTACAGCAAGGAGAGTGCTCATGCCTGTACAAACCTGAGTTTTCTGCCCTGCAGCATTCTGCAGCTTATGTCAGATAGCTTGGGTGCTAACCACAGTTGTGTTTTTGCATGAAGTTAGGCATATATTGGAGAACTGTTACAGATATGTATGAAATAAACTGTACTGTGGCAAGCATGCATCTGCTTTATTAATTTATGATTAATTTCTTTATCCTAGTCTTCATACTTCCAGTTTTGATTTGGCTGAATCAAGACCTGCTTCTGGTGTTCGTCTCAGCCCATTGGATTATGTGAGTACTCTGGATGTAACTCTATGCAATGCTGACATAAAATATGTAAGAATTTATGCAGTGCAATGTAATTCTGGAGTTTGATATTGTTGAAATAGATCGGAGAGAAAAAAAGTCTGTCAGAATATTAGTCTGAGACTTAGAAAGTCATCTTTGTCATTTTTTTAAAAATGAAGCTGGAAATAATGTCAACTATACCAATATTACTGTATTGCATCAAAATTATAAGTGACATTAACAAGAATTAGAAGATGGAAACTTTAGTCAGCTTTCTCATTTAAGATTACTAAAATACAGAAGGTCACAAGCATCAATATGAGTCAACAATGTGCCCTTGCTGAGTAGCATTCTGGTCTGCTTTAAGAAGGATGTTGCTGGCAGATTGAGGGAGGTGGTCCTTCCCCTCTGTTCAGCGCTAGCAAGACTGCACCTGGAGTGCTTGGTCCAGTTCTAGGCACCTCAGTAAAACAGTGGTACAGAGCCTCTGAAGAGTTGGTCCAGTTAAACCCACAGATGTAATGAAGGGACTGAAGCACCTCTCCTATAAGAAAAGGCTGAGAGTGATGAAACAGTTCACTGTAGAGAAGGCTCAGCTGGCTTCCATCAATGTGTATAAATACCTGAAGGGTAGGGTGCAAAGTGGACAGAGCCAGGCTTTTCTCAGCCATGTTCAGTAGCACTGGTGCCAGGACAAGAGGCAGTGGGTACAAACTGTAACACAGAAGGATTCCTCTGAACATCAGAAAGCATTTCTGTGCTGGGCAGGTGACAGAGCACTGGCAGAGATTGCCCAGAGAGGTAGTGGAGTCTCCTGCTTGGTAAGATTCAAAAGAAATATAGTATTGTCACAATTGTTTGTTCCATGTCCAGAAGAAGAAAGCGTGCTAAAACAATGAAGTATGCTTGCTGTATGTATCATTTCTTAGGTGGTATTCTAAAAGTGATGTTTCATGGGAAAGTAGGAAAAAAATCCTCAACAATTTCCAAGAAGTGTCATCTTAGTAATTTTGATAAATAGATTGTTTACATCAATAAGATTAAAAATACCATACCTGCTTGTAGAAGAAGTGTATTTAAATTCAGATTTAAACACTGGTATTAAATTTTTGTTTAGTTTGTGTGTGAGTGGGTGGAAAAAAGGAAGGCTTTTTGCATTGATCTTATCAGTAGTTAAGCTGTCTTTTTCATACGCTGTAAATACAGATCTTGTTGTAGTTGCGGTGGCTGTGGGGTCTCACCTCTTGGGCTCTCTTCAGTTAAGCTCCTGAGGGTTAAACTGGAAACTTTCAAATGGATTCTTTATTGAAGGGAAAAAAAAAAAAAAAAAGAAAACCCAGGTATTGAATGGTAATATATTTATGTAAAGCATGAAGAAAATTTTAGATGTTTAGAGTGGTGTTCATATACTCTAAGATGCAAGATACTGACCTGAATAAAATGCGAACTTGCACGTTTCTGGATCTACATGACTTGTCACAGTGTGATAGGAAGTGGTATATGGGATAGGAACATGTTTGAAGTGTTTTGGAAATGCTTCTTTAGCTCTCAAAAAGAAATCATAAAGAAGGGATTTGTCTCTAGAATTGCACACTGCAGATAATGTTAAATGAGTATTTCTGAGGGAAAGAATTTCAAGTTTTAGTTACTCTACTGAACAGCTTAGGTTAGCTGGTTAGTTTCTGGGGTTTTTTTGCATCCCCAAGTGTTTGCTTTTAAATGGCTTTCTGGGGTGATATTAGTAGAAGTGCTCCAGCTTTTTCAGTGCAATGTTATCTTTAGATTTCAGATGAGTTTTCTTCTTGAGTAAACCTGTGTAACTCTTACTATTCTATTCTGAATATACCTCTTTTCATGATTTTTTTTTTTATGTTTTGCTTAAACAAACAAAAAAAGAAATAGTGTTTTTATCAAAAATTTCTTTTATCTTTATGACAGAAGCCAATACTAGTCATTTCATCTAAGGATGAAGATTCTTCTGTTTCCCTTCCAAAGCCTGCTGTGGATGCTGCAGAGATTAGGAAAATCAGCAACGCTAAGGCACAGTTATTTAGAAGAACTTCTCAGGGAGATGCCTTTCCTGCTAAAATGGCTCCACTGGATCACCGTAAGAATCTTACTTCCTACAAATACAACTGTGTGATGTGTTTTGATATCGTATTAATTATCATATTAAAGAACCGTCCACTCCTTTCAGAGTAAATTTTTAAAAATACTGAATGGCTTAAAGCCAGTCCTGAAAATGATTTCCAAAAATGGTACTGGATTTCATTTCTGAAAATAAGTTGGAAGGCTCTCGGATGCCCCTTTTTTTCCTATAGGTTTTTAAGTAATTGAGGCTTTTTCCTGAAAGTTTTCTTCAGTGGGTTGAATGATGAGTAAATGCTGAAATATTTAAAGAGATAACGAGATGGCGTCTTCTAAGGAGATTCTTTGATGGATTCTTGAGCGTAAAAGGAAGAGTAAATAGGAGTAATAAGACTTGACAGGTCTCCAGCTACATCATATTTAGTGTTAAGTTTCATTAGTGGAGACTTAATAAAGGTCACTAAACATGTTGCTTAAGTCATTTTCTGTCTGCAAGAAAATTACTTTTGCGATCTTGATTTCCTGCACACAAACTCATTATGGAATGTGCTAGAGCTCTGTCTTTAATGAAGACTCGTTTACAAAAATGATAATTCTTCCATTGCCTGGGATTGTTGCTTTATATGATAAATTGAATATCACTTTTAAAATCTTACTGCAAAATAAGTCTTATGCAAAAAGTATTAAATTTTACTGTGTTACTGTGTACCTCTTTTACAAGGTCCGTTAGCCCTGATATATTGATGAAGAAGTTGAGAACCTAATGTAGCTATATCTCTTATTGCCTCCTTTGGTCATTCTGGTGTCCTGTAAATGTTTATGTAGCATTTGATTTCTTCCGTTTCTTTTCATAACGGGTAGATACTGAGGTACAGGATTGCCAGTTACCTTTTACTTGCCTTCATAGTATTTAGATCCTGAAAAATAATCACTTCTTTTATGAGGTACAATCCTCCTGTCTGTAAAGGGGAAATAAAAAAAAGTTGAAAGATTGAAAACAAAAAGTAAAAATAAAGTTAAACCTTAAAGGAGTGATGTTAATAAAAATACTTTGAATGCTTTGCTGAAAATAGTCTCAAGTGCTCTCACTTTTCAAAGTGATGCGAGAAAATTTTGATACTATAGCATGAGAAACAAGCAGTTCATTTTGAGCTCCCTCCTGTGTATTTATTGTGTAAGAACACTCCTACAAAATATATTTTCTTTGTCTGTTTCAGATGAAGAGAAGCTTGATTGTGAAGAACCAGCTATGATGAGTAGTCTTCACGGAACTAATGATAACTGCTTAGCAGAGCAAAGGGCATACACACCATTTAATGACAAAAGCAGGCAATTAATTTGTAATGAGCATAGTGGTAAACCGGAAAGGGAAGATGTTCTAAAAGGCACAGCAGGAAAACTTTTATTTCAGCTAAAAGGTGAAAGGTCAGTATTGTTTGAGTATGGTAAAGTGCTATTTCCACACAACCTTTCTTTCTAGTCACTCTATTGTGTGAGTATCAAAATGTTTAGAGTTGATGAAATTTTAAGGTAGCACTAAAACATTAAGACAAAACTTTGTTCACATCACTAGACAAAATATTCTTAAGTTTTTATAGTCAAAAGACTGATTTGTCCAAAAATTGTAGATAGGGAGTTGCTTTATGTACAAAAACTTTTTTTTTTTTCATCATCATCATCTCAAAACTAACTCTTCTAGTAATTGCATTTAAAATATTCGAGTTTAAATTCAATTATTTTTTTCCTAGTTCAAGCCTGTTGTTTTAAGATACTACATGTTCTTGCCTCATCTGTGTTGATGAGTAGAGGTAAGATTTCAGTTCTGGCTTTGAGGATATATGTTCATACATAAAAAATAAGCTTAGACTCATTGGAAATGCAGGCAGATTTTTATATTTTGTGAGCTTTGAATTTTTTTTAAAATCTTTTTTTTTTTTTCTGTGATCAAGCAGCTGTAACAGATTAATGAGATTTATGTGCATTTAGTCTGATTTTATTGAACCTAGATTATATCCATTCTGCAATTCAGAAGTCTTTTTTTTTCTTTCTTTAATTCAGATCTGAGCTCTTGCACAGGGTGGAACGTTGCACTTTGTGATCAGTAGATGTATCGATTGCTGCAATAGTAGCTGGGCAGACAGCTGTGAATAATATTGACAGATCTAACAATCTCTAAAGTAAAGAATAAATAACACTTAAACTTTGTAACACGTCCCATAACACATCCCATAAACAATTGTTCACTGTTTAAAATATGTTTACCAGTAAATATCTTCTTTCTAGCTCATTATTAGGCTTATGAAGAAATTATTTTTCTGGATATTCTAATGCATCTTCTATATTAAGGAGAATTTTCTTTAAGTTCTAAAAGAAAAAGCCTTTCATTAACTTACTTGATGATGATATCAAATACTTTAGAATGTGTTGTCTGCTGAAGGTGTTTTAGGAACTGATGTGTAACAGAGCTATCATAATGCTCTTCTTTTATATTAAATTGAAAGCAAAATTAAAAAAAAAAAAAAAAGATTCTAAAAGAAGGAGCAAACAAGAAGTTTCATGATTGTAAGGGGAGGGAGAAGGATCAAAGCTCAGAGATGGAAAAACCATGAGTGAATAAATGTAAAACTCAAAGAAAGCTTTGGTGTGAAATCATTTTCTCTCATTAAGATCAGTGACCCGAAGGACTTCCCAGCTAAAGACTGTATGAATTATCACACTACATAAGTTACTGTAATTTGACTTTTACTTAGTAAAACTGTGGCATGAAGTAATTTGGTACAGCAGTTGAAACAGATAGTTACTTAATGGTGTCCAAGCATCTCTAATAAGAAAAGGTCATTTGCTACTTTTACAAACTGGAGAGAATGACCTTTCTTCTGAGTCTTAATTTTAAATCTTGAATGTCTGCTTAAATAGGTAACTTAGAGCTCATTGTGCATTCCTTCTATCTGTTCATAAGGTATGCACTTGTCTTTATAAGCTTGAGAGCTCCACACGTTTTTGGTTTGGATTTTTTGCTATTTGTGCTTTTCGCAGTTACCCATTTTGTAGGGCATTGTGTGTCATAATCACTGCTTTCCAGTAACTTGAAGCACAGAACGTTGTGATTTTTACTTTGAAAATAGTTTAAGAGAATTATTGACTTCTGTTCTGAAGTATTTTTGTGAGTTGGCAAAAAAGGCCTGTTGCTGACAAGTTTGCTTATTGCAACATCCAGTCTTATGGCCACTTTCAGTTCAGATTCTCAGTGTAAGAGAATTTTGAGAACACAGAAAAAAATAGAAAGAGGAAAATGCTGTTTTCAGTTCTTCAAATATCCTTATGCGCATTTGAAGGATAGGTTATCAGTGCTCATTTTTCATAAGCTCCACTTGCTTAATTTCCTTATGACTTATTATGTAATTTTCTCACATAATTATAGTTAGGACGCTAATGATTCTAACCTTAACAAGTGGACTTCTAATGCTTCTAGCTTGTCATGTATTGTGTTCAAACTAGGGAGAATAATACTAAAGGTAGTTGAATCTAAAACATTACTTCAACTACATAGATATCAAATACAGAAAAATGTTTTCGAATCCTGTTCTAAGATTTTTCCAAATCTGTTTTCTTCAAAACAGAAGAATATCATAACATTCTTCTATCTTTTCTGTGTTGAACACAGGGTCTGTGTTTTGGGTGTGCATGCTATCTGTACTTGAGAAGATAATTTTTGCCAATGCAGTCTAAGAGATCTGCCTGTGCAGCTTATACCCCTGTGCTGGAGGTCACTAAGAGTATTTAGGAACCCATATGGTTTCGAATACCAGAATACCTGCAGTACTACAGTGTGCATATAATATCATGTGCTTTTCCTTTAGTAAAGTACAGATATCCCTCAGGCTGTTTTCCCAACTATATCAGCCCAAGCAGTTCACACTGTTGTATGATGGATTGGCTCTAGGTAATCTTAGCTGCTCTCATACATTTGAAGTCATTACTAAGACTTATGCCAATAAACACATTAGTTCAGTACTCACAGGATACTACATGAGCCAGGCAGACTTTGATCTATATCCTTTTCTCAGTTCAGAGATATCATTCTTCATCTGACAGAGCAGTTGAAAGCTATTGCAAATCTGTCCTTCAGTATATTTCCTGGAGTTTTTTCTGGATACAAATTGTATCGACAAGGTTCCATTACCATAGAGGGATCATTGCAATAGAGTTTTGGTGTTCTTTCTCAATAGAACATTATATCTACGAGATGATAGCTGTGATTAAATTACAGCTATTTCTGTGTCATACATACTTAAATCATCTTGTACGAAGTTAAATGATATATTGCACGTTATATTCAGGAGCAGACTGAGCTTACAGAAATGTGAAAATTTAATATGGATGACTTTAATGTCATCCTTCCTTTTAAGCAGTTGTGTAAACCACAATTCTATATCCTAGTGATTTACAAACCCTTGCAGGAATTAAGCATGAGGAAATACAGGAAAAGGTGTCTGAGACTCCTCATTAGGCTTTGCCTGCTTCTCCTATATATGTACCAAAATATTTTTTTCTAATAGTTGTTTTTCTGTTAATAATGAAACTGTAAAGCATGCATAAATAGTATGGCAGATCCCTTTTATTAGTGCTATTACATTTATTTCAAAGGGAACAAGCAGGAACTGCTTTGTTCAAGCAAGAAGGTTGTTCACTTTCCATCTCAAATTCTTTTGTCCCAAGGGCTGGTGGAAAGAAGCAGCAGCACTGATGAAGTCACTTTATAAAGGGGCTTTAAACAAACAACAATGACAAATGAGTAACCTCAAGACTTCTTAGGGAACAGTTATTTGCCATTTAGTTTACAGTTATGCTTTTTTAAATAAACATCTAGTTATAATAGAGAAGGTATATTAATTTAAGCAGATCTGAATGTTTTGATGTGTTGCCTCTGGAAAGTAAGGAGGAACTTCTGACAATCATAAGGAAGCTGAGTTTTGTTTATATCTTTATCCAGGCATTGTGTCTTGCCATCTATTGCGATTGCTGCAGAGATGAAACTTATAAAATGCTTTCTGCATTCAAATATTTCAATGCAAGTGTCACTGGGAATGGCAGATTTGCTGACCAACTGTTTCCATCCTGAGAAAAGACGAATATTTTTTTCCTCCTCCTCCAATTTCTCAATATTCTGAAAGCTTAGATGACATTTCAGGGCTCCTTAGAAACACAGATGCCTTCAGCAAGGAAGAGCTTGGTGGCAAACAGTTTACTTCCAAGTGGCCTGACCTGTGCTTCTATTAATTAAAAATTTCTATAAACATCTACAAAAGGATTAGATGGCACTGTAAGGAAGATGTAGTATGCTTTATTTTCTATCAGCATCACTGTCCTTAGTGAGTATGTGTTTGACACAGTCCTAAAGTGTTCAACAACTTCTTCTACATGATTAGTTTCTCATTTTTTGTGCTTTTTAGAATTCTTGTAAGCTTTAGTAGAAAAACAAACAAACAAACTTGTAGGCAAATGAATTTTGGAAGTAATTTCTATCTGATAACTTGAACTGGCTTTAAAATATTCTTTTCTTTTGTCCTCAAGGAAGAGGAATTCTAAGGAGGAGATAGAATGGATACTTCTTTCAGGAAAGAAATGTTTTGCTCTGTTTGAATTTTTTGAATTAACGGCGTTGTATGAATATCAGATTGTGGTATAGTTTAGCTGATATTGCTGCGGATTATCTAGACTACCTTTAGGATTTGTCTTTTCTCATTATGACTGTCCTCAACTTTTTGTGTTCTTATGAAGACATGGAAACAGGAAACCACTCTACACCTACACAATCTTTTTCTAGTTGTGCTTCAGTTCCATTGGCTGTTAAGATCATTTAAGAAGGAAATAATAAAGTGGTGCAAAAATTTTCACAGGAATTTCTCAAGTGTTTGACAAAGAAAGTGTAATGCTTCCTCCTTCAAGAAGGTGTCTGTTTTTATATAGCTTTAGAAGATGTTGAGAAAAAATGAAAATGAAAAGCTCTTTTTTTCAGAGTAGAAATTGTATAGACTGCTGAAGAAAAGAGCATGAAGCAGCAGTTACCTGTGATATTGACTCATGAACAAGTGGAGCTGAGGCTTGTTTTTACTGCCTAGTGCAGAAGGAGTCTTTCCACTCTAGCCCTTAAGTTCGGAGTAAGGTTATTAGTCTCCACATTTGGGAAACCTAGGTCTTGAGAGCCCTTATTACTAATTGAAATTGAGTTGCCAGAGTGGAAGGGTGTGCCATGGAAGGAGTCAAAAAGGAAGGGCAATTCATAGTCTAGGTAAGGTTTTAATAGTAATGAATTTAGATTGACATTTTCTTTAGAATAAGAATGCTTATGCAAGATTCAAGTAAGATAAATGAAGATGCCATGCTTTTCGGACTGAAATATATTTAGGCTTTTATTTTAGGTG